TTTTTGGAACCCCTTTATTTTATGCGCCCCCCCCCTTATTTTTTTTTTTTCCCCCCCCCCCCCCCCCCCCCCCGCACTTTTTGTTGCATGGGCACAATTAATCATTTATTTTATGATTGACTGGTTTGCTTTCGTTCTACTGCTGTGCAGGTGAAGATGCGGCAGGAAGCCGTGGCGAAGGCTACCAGGGAGCTGGAGGCCGACCGGGAGCGCATGGCCAACGACGCCCGCAGCCTGCGGTCCCAGCTGGAGGTCGCGGTCTCGAGGAACAAGCAGCTCGCGGCGGACAGGAACGCCTTGCAGGTGGGTGGGTGGGTGGGTCTGGCCGGGGGCACGGCGGACCGGAATGGTATGCTACCCCCCCGTGGGTTGTTATGGTACATTTCTGTGCTGTGTGGTTGCTGAATGCGGCCGAACGATGGCTACGACGGCGGCCCCCCAAGATGAGCCAATGTAGCTTCCAGCTTCCGAGTCACCAAAGGACGTGGTGTGGTGGGGTTGCAGGGAGAGCGGATCGGTTGGCGCGGGTATCGCCCCTTGATCCATTTTTGTGTCGTGTGGGCTGTGCAGGGTCGTCGCGCTCGTGCGCTTGTGTTCTCGCTGCTGCGGCCGGCACCGACCGCACTGCAACGTTCGGCGCATCGGCGTCCTAGGGATGCGGACGTCTCGCCTTGTCTTGTGCACGCCCCTATGGTTTTCCTTCCACCCCCGTACATGCAATGCGCCTCCGTTTATTAAGTGCGCAGCCAGCCAGCCAGCCAGCTGTGGAGACCTTTACCACCGCGAGACGCACAACAAAAAGACGCCGAAAGTTTTTCTTTGAGGCCGCTGCTGTGTCGACGTTTAACTCCGGTTTTCGTGTAGGTTGCTCAAATCAACGATGCGTGTGCTGTGTGCTTGGGGTCCTGTGCAGAACGGCGACGCGCGATTTCGCCGTTTTGGCACAGACGCCCGCCGATCACCCCCCCCCCCCCCCCCCCGGGGGTTGCCCACCGGGTTGGGTTTTCGTCGCGTGGCAACGACGTTGTAAAACAAGCCGCCCCCCCCGGTGTTTGCCATCGGGGTTTGGGTTTCGTCGCTTGGCAACGACGTTGTAAAACAAGCCCCCCACTCGGTGTTTGCCATCGGGATTGGGTTTTCGTCGCTTGGCAACGACGTTGTAAAACAAGCCAATTCACTTCGTGAACTCGGCAACCAGGTTACCGTTTTTTTTTTTTACCTCGTTTTGTTTTTTGGCGGTAACCATAATGGTGGTCGAGTAGATCATGTTGTGCGGGGTCGAGAAACCTCACTCCGCGCAACGGGGGATGATCGCACCACGTTGTGTTAAAATGGTCAAGCTTCCTCGAGGCAGTTACACAGTGCTTACTACTGTCTCTGGAAGTGAAAGCACCAGAAAATAAATTAAGTCATACGTAGCTGTCATTCGTACGCAAGGAAGTATGCACAAGATGCCGAACACCCTTAGCAGGATGCAGCTCACCCTTCATGCGACTCGCCAAATACCTCACGGCGCTTCGCGCTTGGTGATGTGAGAGCCTGGTCCGGTGAGAACCCGGCGTGCTCCGTCCCGGCTTTGTAGGGATGCGAGGTCAATGGTCGAACGACTACGGCATGCACGACTATGAGTACCCCCCCCCCCCCCCCAAGCGTCGTACCAAACCGCCTCGAAACCGCCGTGGAGGCCAATCCACGTGGTTGTTGCCGTGACCGAACGTGGCTTGTGTCAGTAGCCTTGGCGAGGACCTTATTGAGCTTGGGTTTAGTAGGTGTAACCGGCTTAGGGTTGCGACCCCCCCCCCCCCCTATTTTCCCTGGAAAACCCCCCGAAACCCGGTCCCACAAAATGGCCAACCCCGGGCTGGGGGGGATATGTTGTTCCCCCCCCCCCCCCCCCCCCCCTTTTTTTGGG